CAAATCACAGCATGTATCGACACATGCACTTATCGATCGACTCATCCTGACTTCAAAACACAGCATGTATCGACACATGCATCGCACTGGTCGACTCATCCTGAGTCTCACACACTCATGTGTCGACACATCCTCCCTTCACGTCGACTCATCCCGAGTCTTATACTTAACATGCATCGACGCAAGCCCTCCATGCATCGACTCATCCAATTTGAGGTCGACGCATCCTGCGATTTTCTGCATAATTTTCTGCGTTTTCTACTGTATTTTGCTACGGGAATCATGTTACAACCCTACAAACCTTATTATGATCATGATAATTCATCACCTAATCATTATACTCTATCACTCCATTGATCAAACAACATAATTTGTTCCACACGAAAATTCAACACAAAATTCAACACAGATAACGGTTAATTACACAACCCCAATCCTACATATTAACCATCATATTCTCGATTATAAAATCTGAACCCCACCCTTACCTTTTGGTTCTTCGGTCGGTCGAATTCTCCGGTTGAAACTGCAAGTGGTTTGACGGTGAGTTCTCTAAATTTGCTTGCCTCCCACTTGGTGCCTCCAAACCCTTGCTTCTTCTACTGCTACGTGATAATTGTTTTGCTTTTGGTTGCTAACCTCTATATATTATAACCTAATATAATAATAGGTCTACTAGTAATTTTAATGGGCTTATTAATTCTATTCCTAATCTTGCTATTTCACACACCCCACTTGACCCAACTAATAAAATAACATTCTACTAAAAACAACATTAAATCCAATACTAATTTCTCTTGACTAAATTGACTAATCATTCGATTATCAATTCTAACAATCCAATAATGCTCCTAATAATTATTCCAATAATTCCTTCTTCGACTAAATTCCAACAATTTAAATCCTCAATAATTCATTTAAATAATTTAATGAATTTCCGGGCGTTACAGCTAGCGGATCGGTATGGTTGTTGGGTTGGTTGTTGGTTGTAGGTGTGTTGGAGTGGGTCGACTAAATAGTACGGGTCAGACACAAACATCTCAGGCATGATAACCGATCTATATCAAATCATATATTAGGGAGTTGGTTTCATTATTCATGGCGCGATTGGGTATTGTAGGACATATTGGTGATGTCTCTTCCACATCTGACATCATTCTGTAGCGAAGTCTTTCCAACTTTAAATACTCCATTAATAGTTGACTATACAGAGATGACATTGGCCCAAACACGTAGGGGGGCCTGGGATTTCTTGATGCATGCCAAACTGTAGTTTGACACAGTCACTATGGTGCATCTCCATAACGTTGTACCGCAAGATAACCGTTTTTACAGTCCAAACGACTTCGTCTTCGAGGTTGAGTTCATGTTGCAGACCCAAATATGATCTTCAAGTAAACTGTAGAGGAAAAGAATTATTATATTACTTACAAGACGGTTAACATTAAAAATAAAAATACTCAGAAGATGAATATTTAATGGTAATACATCCTTTGGTAGAAGGTGATCCAAAAGTTGATACATCAAGATATTTCCTCTAGGATTTTTACTGTAATCCATCCCTCTTACGTAGAACCTAAGCTAAAAAGAGAGACAACAAATTATTTACAGTTATTTAAAGTGAGTAAAATGAAATAGCGATATAGACTTACTTTGTCACGTAAGGGAACATGTAGGTGCTGATGTTCGCGGGGGCTAGGATCGACATTCTCCACCATTTTTTGCATTTTTACACAGCGAACTATAAAGATTAGTCAAAATGGAGGAGCCCTAACTATACTTTCGTATTTGATCAATGTCCCTAAATAAACTTAAATACATTTACATTATTACCAATACTTTTGGGAAATAACAGGTTACCAAATAGTAGCATAATGTAACGTCTAGTTTTAAGTAATTTAGCATCCTCAGACGAATTTTCATCCAAACTAAGAGAACTATAATACTCTTTAAGGGTCTTTAGGTTAATACCTTGGCCCCTCACACCCTCATCCCCCTCTATCATATCTCTTTCAGAACGTGTGTCCATGGAAATGGTATATTCCATAGAATATTCTGAGTGTTTCAACTTTGCATCAGAGAATTTTCATTCTGCAAATCGATTATTCAAATAGATGGAACTTGGTTGTACGAGAAATATAAAGGAACGCTACTGATGACAGTCGCACAAGATGGAAACAATAATATTTTTATGATTGCATTCACTCTGGTTGAAGGAGAAACTGCTAGTGGTTGGAGTTTCTTTCTCAAGAATCTCCGAACATACGTAGCTCCCCAACCTGGTCTATGTTTAATTTCTGATAGACACGCTTCTATTGAGAGTGCATACAACAATCTGACAAACGGTTGGCACGACCCCTCTTCTACACATGTCTATTGCATTAGACATATTGCCCAAAATTTCATGCGGGAGATCAAAGAAAATATTCTTGAGAAAACTCTTGTGAATGCAGGGTAAGCGTTAACTCAACCATCATTCCAACACTATCGTCGCGAGATTAGATTGTCAAATCTAGATGCAGGCAGGTGGGTTGATAATATTACCAAAGAGGATTGGACGAGGGGATACGACAATGGACAACGATGGGGCAACATAACAACAAATATTATGGAATTAATGAACAATGTTTTCAAAGGCATCAGAAACCTTCCCATAACCGCTTTGGTCAGACCAACCTATTTTAGGATGACTTAATTGTTCGCAAAAAGAGGTGAAAGGTGGAGTGTAGTGTTACAATCAGGGAACTTATTCAGTGAAACCTGCATGGAATTTATAAAGGAAGAAACTGCCAAAGCCAACACCTATAAGGTTACAAGTTTCGACCGTTTTAACCATATTTTCAGTGTCAAAGAAAAAATTGACCATAATGAGGGGCTTCCAAGACAAGAGTATCGGGTCATACTACCATATGGTTGGTGCGACTGCGGAAAGTTTCAAGCCTTTTGCATGCCTTGCTCCCATGTCATAGCGACATGTTCATATGCTCACCGAGATGCCTTAACACTACTATCTCCCATTTACAAGGTCGAAACCTTGCTCGGCGTATACATCAATTCTTTTAAAGTGATAGAAAAATAGGATTACTTACCTGCGTATAAAGGGGAAGTAGTTTGGAACAACGACAAAATGCAAAAAAAGAAGAAGGGTCGCCCCAACAACGTGCGTATTATAACCGAAATAGATGCGGCTGACAAAATCATGGAAAGTGTAGTATATGTCGTCAGGTCAGACACAATCGAAATAATTGTCCCAATCGTGGAACTATCTCTGCAACCTAATAATTATATGCATTCGTTGTAATATATTTTTCGAAATCAACTAAACTTTATTTATTCCTTAAACATATTTGTTACAACTACATAAACGCAAACAACACTAAGCATGTTGGTTACAACAAACCAAAGGCATCCAACAATTACAATTAGTTAACACGTCAAAATATCTAAGAAATTACAACTATAAAAACAATTTCATCTGATCTATGCATCATCGCTATTACGTCTCTGCCATTTTTGACATCCTTCCACCAACGTTGAGGTTTTCCGATCGCAAGTGAGGTGGTCGTTCTTTGTCTCTGAATTCTTCTAATGACTTTGCCACTTTGGATGTCCCCGTCTAACCATCGACTTAACTCTCTCTTAAGACGCTCCATGAAATGGATGTTCCAAAATTTCATTTTAATTGGGGGTTTGACAGGAGAGAAACAAACATTCCCATCTCTTTTAAAAATAATTTCACATGCTATGATGAAGAAATTATAGAGAAGGTGAGAAAATGTGTGAAAAATGACGGAGGATGGAGGTTTTATTTATAGAAAAGGTCATCACATAAGAGTCATTTTGTATGGCTCCTTTCGAGACACATTGCACATAGGAGCCACATTGGGAGGCACATTGCTTTTCAGATGCCCATAGACGCCATCTCTCATGGTGTGTTCATCCAATTTTAACTCATAGGCGCCATGTGGGGTGGCGCCAACACTATTTTACAATTCCAAACCTTGTTATTTAGGTAAATATTTTGAAAAGTTAGTTATTTGCATAATTAACTTGAAAAATATGATTATTGCAGAACTTTTTTTATTCCGCTAACTCTACATTATATATTTTTTAAAACCAAAATGCCTTTATATAAAATTTTATTAAAAGTTAAAAAATATGAAAATATTTGACTATCAAAGCTCTTTTGCAAAATTTTCCGGTACACAAAATAAAAGTTAAAAAATGTAAACAAAATACTTCCGAAACTCTTTTGCAAAGTCTTCCGGTACACAATAAAAATTAATGTAAAAAATTGATTCATGACACTCTTTTGCAAAGTTTTTCGGTACACAAAATGAAATTAACATTAAAAATTGATTACCGAAACTCTTTTGCAAAGTCTCCCGGCACACAAAATTTTAAAAATGATTTCCGAAACATTTTTGCAAAGTCTTACGATACACAAAATAAAAATTAATGTAAAAAATTGACTTCTGAAACTCTTTTGCAAAATCTTCCAATACACAAAATAAAAATTAATATAAAAAATTAACTTCTGAAATTCTTTTGCAAAACCTCCCAATACACAAAATAAAATTAACATTAAAAATAACTTTCGAAACACTTTTATAAAATCTTCTAATATACAAAATAAAAATTAAAAAAATATAAAAAATTAAATAATAACTTAGTTAAAAATATGGTAAAGTTGTTATTTTATATAAAATGTAGGGGTACGGAGATAAAGATATAAGTATAAGCTAAGAAATTTCTAGAAGAACATTATTGGAAGAAAAACCCAATAAGGTAAAACCTCACTCCTGAAAGTTTTGGCTAGATCCCATCTTTGATAGATTATGGCTGATAATAGGATTATAAAGTTAGTTGGAAAAAATGCATGAATCCATCTTTAATTTATCTAGAAACCAAATTCATCACAAAACAGCAACCTCATAGAATATTCATTATTCAACAACCATATTATCTATACATCAAAAACACAACAATAAGAGATTACATTACCCAATAGTCTTAAAAGACTTATGAACATGAGTAAGAACATCCTTATCTCTATTCCACTCCGGGGTAGGCGCATTAACAAAATGAGCATAAAGCTTATTATTAGCACAAGTAACAGAAATCAAACTATGAAAACCAACCCCATCAATCTCATAAACATAATAAACTTGACCCTTATCATCTTTCACTTCTTCAGAACTCACATTATCAGCAGTACTGATTATATCCTGCAAGTTCACATCAGAGAGAGCCAGGTTGTTCAAAACAGCGTCTTTTGGAGCTAACTGACGAAACCCAGAAAGGTAAGTTAGATACTCTTTCTCTGTCTTCTTCTTTGGGTTATAGAACTCACTGTCTGTTCCATTTGTACCCTTCTCGACCTTTGAGATCAAACGCTCCTTCCACCCTTCTGGAACGTCGTAGATGTATTCCGCTGAGTCTTTCTTGTCTGAGTTACCGCCGTACCCGCCGTAGTTTGCAGCGCTCGCGGCGGTTCCGTAGTAGAGATTGTAGGGTGATTCTGCTGCTACGGAGGGGGGTGAGGTTGTGAGAATGGTGGCTATGGCTGCTGCTGTTAAGGTGGTGGTTAGTGATGGTTGTTGGTGTTTGAAGGAGATGAGTGGTTTTGAGATGGTGGTGGTGGTGGTGGTTGAGGAGGAGAAAATGGGTGGTGGTGATGAGAAAATGGTAGCCATTGTTTTTTTTTTTTTTGGATATGTTTGTTATGTTTTGTTGTCCATTGAAAGATGAAACAATAATGTGTGGATTTTTTTCTTATCTATTGAGGATAGAGAAAGTTGAAGCTTAGGCTTACATGGATGGTTGGATTAGTTGCTCACTGCCAATAGAAGAGTGCCACTGGATGGAAAACTTTGATACTACTTTGATACTTGTTTTAATAAAAAATTGATTCAATTAAAAACTTCAAATTGATTTTTTAAAAATAAAAAAAAATCATTAAAACTAATACTATTAGTTATATTTGAATTTTAGATATAAATCAAATTTTGAATTGATTTAAAATCGAATTAAACTGCGTATATTTTTAATATTTATATCAATGTTTTTAAAATCGGGCTAAGTTGGAGATAAATTCGGTTCCGTCAACTTTTTAAAATCGTTAGTGGATCAAAATCGGAGTAAATTCAGAAAAATCAAATTGATCTGTCCAGAATCGTTTGAACTAAAATGCATCAAATTGAATATTTTTTACTTTTTTATTTTTAAATTTTAGTATGTCAATATCAAAACTTAAAATATTCTATATTCACACAAAAAAAAAATCTTTGCTTTTTCTACAACCATATAACATTTTAAATTCTATCACTCCGTTATAATCTTTTTCTTTCAACCATACTTCTTCATCATCATCGCGCCGTCTTTTTTAAACATTGTAATTATTTAATTTGTTCAAATGGTTCTTAAATGAATGTTGAAACTAAATATGTTCTTGAATATCTATTTAATACCAATGACATTTACATCTTCAGGTCTTGGAACTAACTCTCATCCATTATTTCTCCTAAATTGACACATTTCCTCTTGCATAATATTTATCTAGAATTTATCAGTCAGTGCTTCTTTGTCATTCTTAGGTTCAATCTTGGAGATGAAGCAAGAGTTGGAAATCATATCTCTAGATCTGGTGATGACTCTTTTTTCAGATTTCCAACGACATTTTCAATAGGATTATCCTTCTGAATTATAATAGATGGTCCCTTGTTGATTTGAGGATTTTCAGATATTAAGTTTTTAGTATAAATGTCTAATTCCTTGGGTGAGACATCTGTCTGTTGAGGGGAAACATCATCTTCATCCTCAACAACATCATTTTCTTTAGGATTATCATCAATGACAATATTTATGGATTTTGTCATTGTCTTGGTATGAGTGTTGTATACCCTATAGGCCCTACTATTGATAGAGTAACTTAGAAATATACCTTCATTACTTTTTGGATGTATTTACTTCTTTGCTCATGATCTGTCAAGATGTAGCACTTGCTACCAAAGACATGGAATTATTTAACATTTGGTTTTCTTCCTTTCCAAAGTTCATACATAGTAGCTTTGGTTCCAGATATAATGGTCACTATAATAGGGTGGAAGAACTGACTTTTGTTTTGCGTTTTATCGCAATTGTTGCGGATAGCAAGAGTCGCCATTTACTTTTCTTTTATCCAATCAAGGAAATGGTGAAAAGAACAGGAAAAACCTTTTGAGAATTTTCTTGAGTTCGGGGGTAGGTTATAAAAAGGGAAGGTGTTAGCACCCTTTTCATCCGTAGTTATCGACGGGCTCTTAGTTGCTACCTCACTTTGAAATGCTTTGCTTGAAATGTGTTTGTGATTGTTTTAAAAGTATTTTTGAAAGCGCCTTTGTTTAGGTGAACTTTGTAATGATTCTCGTCTCTATAAGAATGTATATAAAATGTTGACTTTGAAAATATTTTATTTTTTGAAAGTGTTGGTGTGTTTGAAAGATGTTGTTTTGAAAGTGATTGTGAGCAAGCAACTATGAACGTTCTACCTACTCAAAAAGTCTTAGTTCTTTTCCTCCTCCTTTAGATATTAATATCTTATCATTGATTGATAAGAATTCTCATCATTGGATGTGAAAGGACAGGCGTGGGTCGTCGTATAGTCATAGAAGGCAACCTATGAGACGCTTTAGCAATTGTCGTAAGGGACTAAGATCGTTTTACCGAAGGCAACATCGAAGGGTCATCGAGAGACTACGATCTTTTTTATCGAGGGTCTTTGCTAAAGCATCCCACATTCGAAGGACATGACTATTTATTCGTTGGCAACAAGTGAGATTACCCTAGAAGTACGCGTGTGAAAAGTGTTTGTTTTTCATGCTTTTTTATCTTTGAATTAGGGCTTTCTATTTTTTTTATTTTATGGCTTGCCATACAAACCCTAATTACTAGCATTTTATATTGAAAACGGTAAATTGTAAAATTCTACGCTATTACATCATTTGGGGATGGGGGTACAAATTTACAAATGGGGGGGTAAAAGAAAATAAAACCTAATTTTACCGTTACAACCATATTGAATGAAAAAAAATAATGTACAAGAATATAAAGATAGATAAAAAAAGGAAAATTGTTTTTAAAAAAAACTTTTATGTATTGACACATGCACTTATGCATTGACACGAAACTTTTATGCATTGATACGAAAACTTTTATGCATTGACGCATGAACTTATGCATCAATACATATCATTTCTTTCCCCTGGAAGTCAAAACCAACTCAGTATGAGTCGACACATAATGGTTTGCATCGACTCATTTCTATTTTGCATCGACTCATTTCTATTTTGCATCGACTCATTCGTGTTTTATATCGACTCATAACTTGTTTTATACCTGATATGTGTCGACTCATAGAGATATGCATCGACTCATACTGTTGTTTTTTACTTCTAACGTTATTTTGTCACACATATAAGTTAGTTCTCAACACATGGTTAGTGAAAATGAAAAGTAAGCATATAGTTAGCTTCAGGGCTATGATATCTATATTTTATCTTCACAAATAAACCACTAATGATGCTTGTATGAAGAGCTCAAAGTCAAAAAAGCCTACCTTGAAACTGAAATTTGTATTTTGAGTTTGAGTTGCTATATTGTCTTGGAGAAGTCAAGTTGGAGGTGGCTGTTTTTGAGTTTGGAAAATAGTGATGTTATAGAAGTTGTTCTTGTGTTTGAACAACTCCTATATGATTTATGTGAAGTGTTTGGATAGTTTGTTTAGGGAAAAACTTGCAAGGTTGTACAGTGGGTTGAGGGTTTTCTGTTCTCAGTTTTTGTTTTGTGAATGAAGATAGAGTTGAAGATGATCAGAGTTTACAAAGAATTCTGTTAGGTTTTCCAAATCCTCTTTTTTCTCTTTCTCCCCCTATTTCTCTAAAAAAACTCCCCTTTGTATGTTGTGAAACAACTTATTTATAGATGAAATTGACTGAAATTTGGGAGGGAAATAAATAAGTTTTAGAACTGTTTGGGTACACCGTTTCATTGCTTTTTAGATGCAGCTCTTATGTGCTAAGTTTGTGCAAATATGGGTCTGATATGATGCAAATTTTTCAGGGGCAACATTGTAGGTTTTGGAGCAGGTTTTGACAGTTTTCTTGGCATTACTATGCAGGTTTTAGACAACAGGATATGTAGCATGATGCAGGTCTGATTTTGTGGACAAATTTATGCAGCTTGTAACAAAGACAAGGCATGTTTGTGGACAACATAGTGGCAAAGTTTGAAGATTGAGCCAAAGGGAAAAGTTCAAACAAGACAAAGCTTAGGATTTGTAACTTGCAATTTTTAGCTTAAAAATGGAGCCTTGTTGTTTACTTGAAAACTTGTAACAACTTGAATTATCTTGAATTATGGTGAAAAGATGTCATGAAGTAATGAAATTAACATGTATAAAAACACTTAGAAAAATTTCTAAGTCTTGCAAAGTTTGACTTTTCAAAATGACTTTTGACTTTCTTGATTTCTTGATGATCAAATTTCATATTTTGAATGCCTTGATGAAATGTGATCTTTGAAACTCAAATTTGATCAAAAAGTCAAAGTTTGACTTTTTAGTGTAAAGTTGACTTTTTTCATCAGTTGACCAAATTTCATCTATCAATCCACTGATCTTGGGAGATGAATTGAAATATGTGTTAGGTCAAAATGATGTACTTGAATTCTTAAGATCATGTTTCAAACCAATAAGTCATGTACTAGGCCAAAAGTCAAAGATTGGTCATTCTCAGTCAAACCCCTAATTTTGACAATTTTGACCTTTTGATGATTTGAACAATTTGCTTGGAGAATTGTGATCCAATCTTGATCAAATGATACACATGACTTCAAAATGTTAATATTGGTCCAAAATTTTGAAGTTTGAATGTAGGTTGACCATATTCGACTTTTTTTTCCAATACAACTGATTTTAGGCCATCTGATTAATTAACTGAGCAACTTTGGTAATCCAAGACTTGAAACTTGACAGGAGCAATCTTGAGGTTCCATAATGATCCATGGAAGTCATTTGAAATTAGAAGTCCAACTGTCCTTATGCAAATTCAAACCCTAATTCGAGGCATCAGCGTTGAGGAGATGGCTTGACCTAGTCAATACTTGTGCAAACTTGAATCATTGAAGATCTTTGTGAGAAGCAAATTGAGAAAAGAGAGGGAAAATTTTGGGGTATAAATTGAGAAAGGATCTAAACCTGAAAAGTTATATTGGCGGGTCCGTCATTCGTGACTTGAAGGTGTAAGATGATTGAACACTAGAGTGCCCAGAAATTTGTACTCGATGATGTGTTGGTTGATTGTGTCGGGAATGGGCTTAAAGATGCCATATGTAGAGGTGATGGAGAGTTTGTCGGAGATGGGCTTACAGATGCCATCTAGAGTGAAAAAAGAGGTTTGTTGTTTGGCGACTTCACTGGGGAAATAATCTTAACCAGAAGAGGTTTATTGATTGGCGACTTGTTCCTGCAAGGAAAAGGGTTAGTTGCATGCAGATGTATGCACGGCGTAATCATGTTCTCAAAATAAATGAGATTATGTTGTATGCATTTGTCGTGTATGTAATATGATGTATGAATGTGAAATGGTGTTGATGTGTATCTTTGTCTTGGAAAATAAATCCTTGACAAATGTTGGGGAGCTTTGGGAAGTAAAACCTC